GTGATGAGAAAACCGAAAGTAATTTCCAGGATCAACTGAGTTCACATTTACGGGCATATCCTATACCAATGACCTCAAGAATGCAGTAAAGGGTTTTGCGCTACAATCTTATTGGCTTGTTCACATACTTATGCTGAAAACAATAGTAATTCATATATAAATGATTGCCATTCATGTTAGAACTGTTTATCAGTGATTGCTTTGTGTTTTTACTACAATTTGTTTCATGTCCATACACTTTTCTCGTTAGCAATAAAGTAGTTCACAGTCGTTCGTATATTTTTCTTCACTGCGGCGTGTTTGTAGAAGATATGGAGAAAGCTCTAGGTGATTAAAATGAAATCTCGAGTGGAATTTATCAGATTCATATTTATGTAGCAACGACAGAAGATCTACGGCCAGTGCTAGTCTTTTTCTGATAAGCTTCTGAGTGTCTAGTCAATTAAAGGGGCGGACACCACTGCTACGGGTAACAGGTTCCAAGAATTGGTGATTCGGTGTGAAAACCTGCATGCCACGGATATTTCGCTCGTTCACGGTTGTTCTACTCGCCTATTATGTCCACTGAGTTGTCCTGATCTGATAGGAAGGAAAAACATATATCAGGTTTTGAATCATCTCTTGGTATTGTATACATCAAAATCAGATCACCCCTTAATCTGCGGCAGGACAGAGTAAAGGGGTCTAGCTTTCCAAGTCGTTCTTACTATAGTAAACTCCGGAGTTCTGGAATTGAACAGGTATCTGCTCTATGTACGTTTTCCAAAACATTCGAGTTACCTTTTAAACAGAGGCTTGCAACCTGAACGCAGTTTTCAAGTTCGCATATCACTAAGATTGCGTATACTGTAATGAACATAGTAGTACCTAACTTGGTGAATGTCCAACTTAAAGCCCATAGGGTTCTAAACCCCGTAACTGCAAACCCCGGCAGTGGGCCGTAGTCGTAAGATCAAGGCTCACTGTTGCCCCAAGATCCTTACGAAACCGGGCTACGGGCACAGATTCTTCCCTTACGCTACACCTATTTAACTTTGCATCCCAATATGCATGTTAACACACTTGGTCGCGTTGATAGGCATCAGCCACTATTTAGACCAGCTAATTGGAACATCTACGTTCTTTGCTCTGTCCTGATTTTCCTGTATTATTTGAGATCCTTCCCGCAATTGTTTTAAGAATCTAATGCTGCGTCCTTTCCTGTAATTTATGTACGAGGACAGTTTCTTCAGCTGCTTGATTATAGATTGGGCCAAATGTTTTCTTGTATTTTCCCTGAGTTGCCCGGATCATAATTATACATTTTCATACCGACCTTTAGCGTTCCATCTTATTCTCTGTGCCGAGGTTGATGGCGACATTCCAATATTTCTTCTTTTGTCTTAGTAAATGTCGAATATTGAGTGAGGTCTACACAGGAATGGCTGTGCTTTTTTTGAGACTGTCCAGGGTATAAATGATTGAGTTACTGGATTGTACAACTGCCAGAAATGAGTCCATGCCTCTGCTACTGAGGTCTTTGAGTCAGTCTTCCAGTTTTCAGCCAAGGCTGACGAGTTGATTGCTTTTATATCTCCCATATGTTAAGACAGGCCGACACAACTGCTTGACAGACCATCTCAGATATGAATTTGAATAAAGTGACTGCATGATCACATCTCCTTATAGGTGGGAGAAAAGGTATTTGACAGACATCACTGTGAGTAAAGAATAAGTCCAAGAGAAATGAGTTTTGTAGGTCATATTGGGTGGAATCTCTTATGTGCTGGAATAAAGCTAGAGCGATTGTGGTTCATAAAAACTTGTAATCAAACGATGTTTTTGACAACTCTACTTCTAAGTTTCCCCAATCTCTAGACGGTTTGTTCAAGTCAGTCAGCTACGACGTAGGACCTTGCATATACGCATTGATCCAAGTTGCTACATCTCATTAGCCCAACAAGATGAACATCAAATTCATAACAGATACTTCAATGGTAGTAAAAAGAAAATAACATTTTAAATAAGGATATAAGACAGGGAGAAAGAATTAGTTGGTAGAAAGGTGTGAAGTAATTTGGATCTCACGGTTTAGGGGAAGACAAAGAGTGTATACACCTGCTCCATTGTGATCGATTCTGAGCCATGTCACCCAGAGTCTCCAGACATTGGTTACAATAGTCGCGCTAACCCCAACCAAGTAGGCTGCATCTACTAACATGTCACAGACCATAAGTTAATGACTTCAAGCACTGATGCCAAGTCTTGGTTTGGCCACCCCTAACTCTCTTCCAAACATCTCCAACACTGGTCATCATTGTTAAGAAATTTACAGAATACCCTAAACGTCTATACTCGTACACAAACCAAAGGACTAAGAGAAGAGGAAATATTCCAACCTTATAGGGAAATAATAATACTGCATCACTAGTGGAAGATGACTATTGTAAATCTCAGGTATTCTCAAACTATTTTTGGCTTCTGTTGGTCCTTCACGACTCCCTGTCTGGGGTCCGAGAGATGGTGCTACACTGTGGCTAGAGACGTTATCAGATATGGCTCAGAATAGAAGCGATCCTGTTGTAACCTTCTTTTACTTTCTGCATAAAGAGTGGTTATAACCTCTTTAACTGAGAGAGTTCTTCTGGTTGAATATTTCAGTTCCCCTCACCGTTACCTTTTTTAAATGCATCTTACCCCTTGCACCAATATTTGTTTAAATAAATAAATATATATACCGTAGAGACGCATCCCCTTAGTTTATACACCCCTCCTCACACACTGTGACCATTAAAGTACTCGATTTCTTTGGTCTGTTAAATGAGTTTGAGATAGACAAATCCATAGGACTCGACGAAACGTATCCAAGGTTACTAAAGGAATTTGCAAATTTTGCCACGAATCCCTTTATTACATGTTTTAATTTATCTATAACCCAGAATCGATTACCAAAAGACTCGAAGAATGTTATTGTAAGTCCTATCTTCAAAATTGGAACGAGACATAAACCTGAGAACCATCAACCAGTAGGCGTACCCGCTTGGCTGTTAAACCTTTATAAAAGATCATTGAGAAAGAGTTGTTCGAGTATCTCGACGAAAACCAGGTTTCTTCTGAAAAGTAGAATGGCTTTGGAATAGGTCATTCCTGTCTCACTAACTTATTAGTAGCCCGTGAAAGTTGGTGCGCTTGAAAGGATCAAAAGTTACCTATGGATGTTATTTTATTTATTTATTTAAACACATAAATATTGGTACAAGGAAGCACCAGATATATATGTGCCACACAAATCTCATTTGATTTGTGTGAGGACTGGGATACTGCCCAAGTGCCCAAACTGAAACAGGTGGTTTTCCTAGGGGGTCACACTCGGAGTTTTTGACCCAAAGGTCTGATCCACAAGGCAGTGGAGCATCGTGAGGAGATGCAGTCCCATGGTAGCCGGTGACCAACGATTGATTCAAACGCCATTTCATCCCTCAGGATACTGGAGCGCATGTGCACCATTGGTTTGGAATCAATGTTTTCCAACTCCCCTAGGTGGACTTTTCGTGTCCACCAAACCGGTTAAAGCGCCGGACATTCTCTCTTCGTCATCTCAATTTCGTAAACAACACCCCTGTCACGAGAAGGCAATGAGTAGAACTTCCCTGGCAGAGGCTATATACGCGTGGTTGTGTGAGAGCATTTCGAGAGGGAGGGTGGCCTCTCCCCACTCTCAGCCATACCGGGGCATTTGGGGGCAGTGATAGTTTACAGCTTAAAAATGACCTAGAGGAATTATCTGACTGGTCTAAAATTTGCCAGTTGCCGATAAATACCTCCAAATGCGTCATAGTACATGTTGGTCATCAAGATACAGACACACACAGTGAATAACAGTGAGCAACCTCTCGTTCAGACGTACAATGACTTAGGAGTCATCGTTAGCTAAAACCTAAAAGCTTCTGCAAACTACCGTGTGATAGCCGCCAAAGGTTTTAGAACTCTATGGTCAGTACTTAGGGCCGTTGTCTATGTCGATGCTAAAGCTTTTTTGACTTTATTTACAGTATTCGCGCGTCCTAAACTTGAGTACTGCATACAAGCGGCTAGCCCCTGCTTAAAAAGACAGTGAGCTTTTAGAAAAGGTTCAGACAACAGCAACTAGGCTGGTCCCCGAAATAGCTAGGCTCGTGCATGATGCTCGGCTGGCTAAACTCAGCCTATTTCCATTGTCATATAGAAGAAGCAGAGGTGACATGATAAGTTACTTGATGAATTTGCATGTGATATACCCTCGTTCATCCTGTCTTCCTCCTGACTGTTTATGTTGAAAATCTAAGGCATAAATAAGTGTTCACTATTCATCTTAAAACTAATATTTTTCTGACAGGTTGTTTTGTAACCAAACATCTTTATCTTATCTAAAAAGTGGTATAAAATGTCACAGATATTTAGTGTTTTCCAATCTTGCTATTTTGGGGAAATTTTGTCCACTTTGGGTAAATTTTGGGAAAGCCATAATAGAAAACATTGAGGAACCAGCACAGAAACTTTAAAATTTTCCCAGGTCCAGGAAGAATCCCCAAAATGTTCGGGGGAACTTTTGGGTTTTCTGTAAAGCCGTGAAAACTTTGTTAGTTTTCCCCAAAACGTTTTGGAGAGAACTTCGAAGTCTTACAAGATTCTGTGGAAAACTCGGCTTTGAGGAAAACCTCAAGATTCACCTGAAACTCCCCCAAAGTATTTGGGGGATTCCCTAAAACGTTGGGGATTTTCCCCGGACCTGGGAAAATTTTGGGGTTTTTGTGCCAAGTCCTCAAAACCTCCCTAACTCTGGGAAAAATCCCCGAATTGTTTGAGGAAATTTAGGGTTTTCCCCAACATTTATACAGAATCTTATAACACCTTGAGATCTTTCCCCAATATTACCCCAAAATAGGGAGATTGGGTTAATAGCACTTGTCCGTATAGCATTCACAATCGAAGTACAGAAATACAGTCAAACAAGACATAAATGAATGGGTTAGAGGATTTACTCGAAAGATAGTCGATACGTTGAGGAGTATATGATCTAAGTTGACCAATTGTTGCGTGCGAATATTTACATTGGCGTATTCAATCGCATCTTAGCGCATATGCTTGACTGAGCGCCTCTAGCTAAGTACTACAATAAAACCAACGATTTCACCTTCAATTTCGATTACTTGTAGAACTCTTTATTTCGGATATTTATTTTTCATTTTCTTATGAAAGAAAACTAATCCGTTTGAACCGTCGCTTACTGCCACATCTTATCTCCGAACTAACTAGGTTTAAGCATGATTTAAACTAAACCTAAATGTATATTTATGATCAAGTGTAATGTTGTCCTAGCTCATATTACTTTACAATTTCTATCTTTATTAGTTTTTCGTTTTTAGAAGATCAGAATCCTTTATTCACAGTTGCATGCCCCAAATTATTATGACCTGATCGACTTCTGCGTGTGGCTTTTAATGACTGAGACAACTTGGTAACAACTCTTACCTGGAGTGTACTTAGAATAAAGTTGTATAAACCGAGAATGTTTGCCCAAAAGTTATGTAATCTCACCTCGATGAATCAGGAAAATGTTAATACCCAGTGGAAGGAAGTTTATTCACTTTTGTAAATATGCATATTTAAAAAGGAATTACAAGTTGATTCCGCGGTAAACTTTGTTTTCAGCTTATACACGAAACTGGGTCAATGATACTACATTACCTAGTCGTCTGATTTCTCCTGGCTACAGCTGACTTTGATTTGACATGCAGTGGTGTCAGCGGTTAGCAGGACCGATTCAAGTAGTTTATTGTCGTAACTTGATGGCTGTTTATAGGAAGCGGAAATTAGGAATGGACATCTGATAATAGAAATCGGTCACTAGACATTTCTGTACTGAAAAATACTGAGAAGAACCGACTGAAATTTTTTCGCACAATACTCATATGACGTTGTATGAGGACGTTACTGTTTACGACGTTTTCAGCTTTTCCGTAACTTCTTCAATTTTTGTATTCGTATGAAGGTGTCAGAAGTATTCGGAGTTTGACAATGTCTTAACCAGTAGCACCTTTATAGTCAAAGTATACCAGCTCATTCAAGTCGAAAGACAAACGAAATTCGAAGATATATTCAGAAAGCTAGCGGTGTGTCGAAGGAATGTTTCGTCTAAGCTGGCTAGTAGTTGAAAGAGACACGTAGCATGGAGAACAAACTCGTGATCTGGTGCGGATGCGTGACTGAGGACCTTCAGCTTGGTTAGTGAAGCTAAACTAATTCAGTCAGCGTTGATTCTAGGGATTTGTTTACCGCTATAGATCACTCCTCCTTAGTGGGACAGCTATGACTCTAAGACGCGGGCAGCCAGAAGCTTAAACCCGACGACTTGTTCATTGGTAACACTGAAAGTTTCCTTCGTTCAGCAGCGTCTGATCGTCTTTCCTCACTATAAGGGATCATACGGTACAACATAGTAATGAAAAACAAGTACAATGAAACTTTCAATTCTGAATTTTTATCGGCTTTCATCTTTCACAGACGTCCTGGAAAAGAAAAAAGGATATGTGAGCTCATGTCGAGTTACACTCGTACATGCGTAAAGACATAAAATGGGGGGTAAAGAAAAATAAACTCACATACATGCGTTTCGTTAACATACAATAGCATGAAGACGACTTTCGCAGAATGATTTTTTGGTTTTTCTGAAAAATAAATGAAGGCATGTATATATTAGCAACAAAATACTTTTTGGAATAAATATATACATATATATGAACACACTAAAGGTTGTCTTTTTTTCACATAATAATGCAAGAAAATAAAGGTGAAAGAAAACGTATGTAATGTCTTTGGTGAAGTAATCGTTTAGGTGTTCTGGAAACTTTACTTTTCTCACCGAACGCGTTGTTTTAAGTCCTTTGTCAGATACCACCTTCTGAACACACGACTTTAAGACGATCGATGCTGATGTTACCGTTAGTTCAGTTCTTGTCAATGACATAGCACTCAGGTTCACGCTGAAAGACTTTGAAGAGTCCCTCCTATGCCGTTTTCAGAGGTCGTAGGAGTGAGTCGCGACGTACAAAGGTATTTGCACTATATCTTAGGTCAGGATGAACGGAAGAGACAGTTGATTGAGACCAGGAAACAGGCATAACTGAACTCATGGTGTTTATAAACCTGCTCGTATAGGGATTTAGACCCGTATTCATTAAAGAAGATGAAGGATGCACGAATTCTCTTGGAAGTCGGAGGGTCATGGCGTAAACGACTTGTGCTGCAGTGTATCCAATCCCGGTAATCACTGCACTGCGAATACTGAATAACACTAGTGTTGCCATCTATTTAATATAAAGTTTTAAGGTTATGAAATATAACTTGTGCTGAAGATCAGTGTCTTCCTTTTGAAACTGGGCGAGTTTAAGAAATTCGATTCCTTGGAAACTATTAAAAGAAGTTATACAAGACTAGCGTCTGCCACTACATTGTTTGCCCTAGAAACATGTTATATATCTGAAATGTAGTCCAGCTGCCGAGACTCTCGAGGTGGGTACTTGTCTAAAGATAATTTTAAAGAGAAAGCAAGATGTGTGTGGTCGGTGGAAAAAAATGAATTCTCGGCCTTCACAAGAGTATTGAAAGCGCCGTACAGCATAATACATAGCTAGAAGTTCCCTAACGAAAGTGCTATACCTCGAGTTGGTGTCTGGCAACCGTCTTGAGAAGAATGCCAAAGCTTGCCAGGCGTAGTTAACCGATTGTTGTAAGACTTCTCCAATTGCTGAATAGGATGCGTCTACTGAAATACTAGTGGGTGCCCCGGTGTCTTGGTGGGCAAGCAACGTTGCTTTGGTGATATGCCCCTTAAATACAAAGAATGCTTTGTTTGCGATGTCGTCCGAATTGGCGGGTTCCGCATTTCCACAAAGTTGGTTGGTCTCATGGAAGACACGAAATTTGGTATGAATCGTCGATGAAAACTTACCAGACCACTGATCACACATAATCGTCTGACTGTGGTCAGCTCCGGGTAACCCAGAACAGCCGCCATTTTGCTTTTCAGGGGTTCATGCCCTGAGTATCAATAGTGTGTTCCGTAAAATCTAGGGAGTCAATGCCGGTTTGACGTTTCTGAATGTTCACATTAATGCCATGTTTTTGCATTTATTCGAGATGCTGGAGATAAGATTCTCTGTCTGCCATCTAAATATACATGTACGAAGTTAAGACGTCAAAAGACGTCGTCAATGAATTTCCGGAACGTTTGTGAAGCATTTCTTAAGCCTAATGACATGCTAGAAAATTCATTGGGTCCGTACGGGGTGGTGATAGTGATTTTAGAAATGTCGTCAGCAGCCATGACCATTCGGTTATATGTTTTAACAAAGTCGATGTTCAAAGAAACAGTTATACCTTTCAAGATAACTGTCAAATCTTGAATGTGAGGCGACAGGTGGCATTGGGCCTGAACTACACAATCCCCAAAGGTGAACACGAGACAACTGCGAAAATGGATATTTAACATTTAACTCGGAGAAAATCCAAACGATGGAGAAGGCGGGAAGAATGAATTCAATTAATTAAATTGATCGAGTGGCATAGCTCAGCCTTGCAGTGTGACCATTCTTGTGTAACCTATACCCTTTGTTCATATCAAATATATTGTTCCATCTCCAGTCTAAATGTGTTTTCCGTCATATATTGGCAATTGTTACGATACAATGCGTCAGTGTAGACAATGATGTGACTTCCAAGTATACGTATTCAGTGGAAGCATTCTCTCTCGACCAGACAGTGACTAGAGATTGTTTAGATATAACAGAGTTTCCACCATAGGCGAGCTGCTGTATAAGTCTAGAAAGGGAGTAAATGAACTGGGAATAAAGGAAGATAAGTGACGTAGGATAAATAAAAAAATGATTATAATAGTAATAATAATAAGAGTGAGTGTTATCAAGTGAATGAGAAGTGTCTGAATTCTAATTCCAGCGAGCATAGTATTCCATGAAGTAATTGTCATCTCATTAGGTTTGTGCGAGGACTGGGATACTGCCCAAGTGTCCAAACTGAAACAGATGGTTTTCCTAGGGGGTCACACTCGGAGCTTTTGACCCAAAGGTCTGATCCACAAGGCAGTGGAGCATCGTGAGGAGATGCAGTCCCATGGTAGCCGGTGACCAACGATTGATTCAAACGCCATTTCATCCCTCAGGATACTGGAGCGCATGTGCACCATTGGTTTGGAATCAATGTTTTCCAACTCCCCTAGGTGGACTTTTCGTGTCCACCAAACCGGTTAAAGCGCCGGACATTCTCTCTTCGTCATCTCAATTTCGTAAACAACACCCCTGTCACGAGAAGGCAATGAGTAGAACTTCCCTGGCAGAGGCTATATAAGCGTGGTTGTGTAAGAGCACTTCGAGAGGGAGGGTGGCCTCTCCCCACTCTCAGCCATACCGGGGCATTCGCGGGCTGGGAACAATAACTGGGTGGATTCTCATGCATGTAGCAAACAATCCTCTTTGAACCCGGCACACAACAATACTGTCATGCACTGTCCCATCACCATTGGCAGATCGGGAAACCCGAAAGCCACTAGAACACCATCAAATCATACGACAGGCTAGGTACCCCACGTGAAATATTAAGCTTGTTTCACATGCGTTTATCCCAGGACCCCGTGGCATCTTCGTCCGGTCTTGCTGGCGTTGATGTCGCACTAAGCGCTAGGGCTGAGACAGCACTAATCGATTGCATCCCCATTAACAGTCGGTTATGTGTTGTTAGATTAGAAAGTTCCATCAAAGTGAGAAGAAATCGGCGTGAGAAACGGTGTCTTTTCGTCATCTCCGCCTATGCCCCAACAGATTGCAGCCCGGATGCAATCAAGGATGAGTTTTACCACCAGTTAACAGTTCTCCAGAAAGCGCGTTCGACAGATATTGTAGTATTAGCCGGAGACTTGAATGCACAGGTCGGGCGTCTAGGCACAGAAGAGAGTCGTTTAGGTGACCGAAAGGGACTTGTTGGTCGCAGGACAGATAACGGGGACCGTTTGCTGCAACTGTGCACAGACCACAACCTGTTTCTGGCTAGCACTAACTTCCGGCACAGTCATCGCCGGTGTGCCACCTGGCGTCCTCCCTCTGCATCCCAAGCCTGGACTCAGATTGATCACATCGCGATCAGCTACCGCTGGCGTGGTTGTGTACAAGACTGCCGCTCCTTTTGGAGTACCTATCTGGAGTTTGATCATGCCCTGGTCTGCGCCAATCTCACCTTACTTTTCA